TCCATACATACATACATCCATACATACATTCATGCATACATACATACATACATACATACATACATACATACATACATACATACATACATACATACATACATACATACATACATACATACATACATACATACATACATACATACATACATACATACATACATACATACATACATACATACATACATACATACATACATACATACATACATACATACATACATACATACATACATACATACATACATACATACATACATACATACATACATACATACATACATACATACATACATATAAACATACATACATACACACACATACAAACATGCATTTGTACATACATACAAACAATACTATCATATATACATACATACGTATATGTACACACGTGCAAATTCTATACAGCAGTTGTGTTAGTGTGAACTTATCATGAGATGAGTGTCATATAATACCATTGTGTATGTATATATGAAATGAGAGTGTTTATACGTGTGTGCGTGAGTATATGATATGTGATAGAAATATATATATATAGAGAGAGAGAGAGAAAGAGAGAGAGAGAAAGAAAAAAAGAGCGAGAGAGAGAAAGAGAGAGAGAGAGAGAAAGAGAGAGAGAGAAAAAGAAAAAAAGAGCGAGAGAGAAAAAGAGAGAGAGAGAGAAAGAGAGAATGAGAAAAGATAGATTGATAGTCATACGGATAGATAGGTTACATAAAGAGAAAGAAAGAAAAAAAAAAGAAAGGCAGAATCAGAGAGAGAGAGAGAGAGAGAGAGAGAGAGAGAGAGAGACAGAGAGAGAGACAGAGAAAGAGACAGACAGATAAATTGAGAAAAAAAAATTATATTTTCTCATAATTTATGCAAACATTTGATAACAATAGTAATAATAATAATTATGGTCAATAAATCTATGTTTATGGTGTCAATAAATTTCTGATATATAACTTTTTTATTGTATACATTTGAAGAGAGCATAAATAAATGAGAGAGAGAGAAAGAGAGAGAGAAAGAGAGAAAGAGAGAGAGGGAGAGAGAATGAGAATGAAAGAAATAGAAAAAGAGAGAGAAGCATAGAAAGAGAAGAAACCCCACTGAAAGGGGTGATAAAATAAAAAAAGGTAAAAAAGAGAGAAAGGAGAAGAAGAAAGTGGTATGAAGAGAACGCAAAAAAAAAATACAAAAGTAGGAGTTTGAAAACTAAAAACGGAGGTATAAAAAAAAAACTATATATTAAAAAACTGTTGAGGAATAATGATAAGGTGAAAAAGTGAGAAAAAGAAGACAACACCAGAGATGGGGAGACGAAGACAGACTGAAAAATCTTCATTGCCATTGTCAAAAGCAACTTCGTCGTTGTCATCGTCAACAACAACAACATCATCTTCTTCGTCATCTTCCTCTTTTTCTTTATCATCTTTTTCTTCTTCATCATCTTCTTCTTCTTCTTCATCATCATCAACAGCAACGCCAACATCATCATCTTCATCTTCATCATCATCAACAGCAACGCCAACATCATCATCTTCTTCATCATCATCTTCTTTTTCATCTTCTTCAACATCATCTTCATCAACAACAGCAACGCCAACATCATCATCTTCTTCATCTTCGTCTTCTTGACAACGTCACCGGCTTGAATTATATGAAGCCAATGATGGAAGGGAGATTGACAGAGTGTCTCAAGTGATAATGATCATGAGGACGTTGACGATGATGATGATGACCACGCTGATGATGGTGATAAATAGGGCGACGATGATGGGAATTTTTGGTTTCGACGACAATGAATATGACGACGACGATGACGATGATAATGACGAAGATGGCGACAATGTTGATGAAGATGATGATGACGAAGATGACGACGACGATGATGAAGATGATGATGACGAAGATGACGACGACGATGATGAAGATGACGAAGATGACGACAATGATGATGATGATGAAGAAGATGATGATGATGAAGATGATGATGATGAAGATGACGACAATGATGATGATGAAGACGAAGATGACGACAACGATGATGATGATGAAGATGACGAAAATGATGATGATGATGACGAAGATGACGACAACGATGATGATGATGAAGATGACGAAGATGACGACAATGATGACGAAGATGATGATGACGGCGATGACAACGAGGACGACGACGATTAAGACGACATCAAAGATGATATTGGGGATATTGCTTATGATGACGCACATGTAGTAGCCACTATGACGATGATAAATAAGGTGATGACCAATGAATGGCCGTGGCGGTAACGATAGCTATGGGTGAATATTTCTTACCTTACTGTTTTTAATCATGTTCATAAGACTCTTTGTCCTTAAGGAAGCCTCACTGCATGTCTCACGCCACTATTTAACGTCTCAGTTAACTAAATAAATGAACAATTCACAATTAAATCTTATTAGATTATTTATAATTTATGTATAGCGTTTAATATTATTCTTTTAATTGATCGGTCATGAGATAATTTCTACCTCTAGCGAACTGATTTAATTTATAAATGTTGTTTTTCTTGTTGTCTTTCTTGTTTGAATCGCGGCAATTCAATTTCATTTTTTGACATTTTTATTGAAAGGCATTTTCCAGATAAAATTTCAAATTTATTCAATAAAATTTCATAAATTTTAAATTAGTGCTTGTTGTTTAAATACACATACCAGTGTAGAAAAATTGAATTGAATTGAAAAATAATTTATTTGGCCGAAAGCACAGGAGATCAAGATACATATTTGTATGTGCAGATCACCTTAACTAAAATATGTGCGATGAAAACATAAATCAAACAAAATATAAGGACTGATAAATAATAAAAAAGCAAACAAATCCCAAAATAAAACAGAAAATATTAATAGGCAACCAGACAGGGGAAATGGTTTCAATGGTTATTAAAATGACCTGACAAAATGAGTCTATAAATTGATGCTTTGAATATGCTATAGGAAGGTGAGTTTTTCACATTTTCAGGTAACGTATCCCAAAGACGCATTGAAAATGATAAAGCTGAATAAAGAAAAAAGTTCGACCTAGGCGTGGAAAGGTAAAAATCTGGATTTTTACGGAAACGATCACATCTAGTATTTTTAAATGAAACAAGTACATTGAAAAGCAATTTACAATAGTTCAACCTATAAATTTTAAAAAATAAAAGTAATAAATAACATATATATAATTGCTTCTATAATATATAATCTAGACTGTAAAAAGAAGTAATATGGTCAAATTTACGTACATTAAATAAAATACGTAGAAAAAAATTCTGAGATAATGTTAAAATATGAAGATTTGATTTAGGAGCCGAACCCCAAACAGAAATACAATAAATAATATATGGTAATACGAGAGAGTTGTATAATGTGAATAAGATAAACCTAGGAAATTTAGTACTCAAACGATTAATTAGGCCCAAATTTTTAGTTAACTTGCTTGAAATGTGTTTGATATGAGTCAACCATGACAAATTAGATGAAATAAAGACACCTAAAAATTTAACTGAAGGGACTCTTTTGACAGCACCGTTATTTAAAGTTATAACAGGAAAAACAATGTCAGTCCTAATCTTAGCACCAAATAAAATAAAACACGTTTTGTCTAAATTAATGCGCAAATTATTAGAAACAACCCACTCATACACGAATTTCAATTCATCGTTAATAACATTAACTAAAATATTGATATCATGATGAGAGTAAAGGATGGTAGTATCATCGGCAAACAAAACAAACTTTAAAATATTTGATGAATTAATAAAATCATTGATATATAAATTGAAAAGCAAAGGACCTAGAATAGAACCTTGAGGAACGCCAGATTTAATAGGAGACAATTGAGATTTAGAATTATTAATAGAGACATATTGAAAGCGGTTAGATAAGTAAGAAGAAAACCAATTATAAGCCAAACCACGAATACCATAAGAATATAATTTGTACATTAGAATATTATGATCCAAGGAATCAAATGCCTTACAGAGATCAATGAAAACACCTATAGAGTATTTCTTGGATTCTAAAGCTAGGGATATATAATTAATAACATCGACAACTGCAAATTCAGTTGATAATTTGTCGCGAAAGCCATATTGATTTAAAGAAATTACATTACGAGAATTGAGGAATTTATTAAAGCGATTTAAGATTATCTTTTTAATTAGTTTAGATATACTGGAAAGAATAAAAATAGGACGGTAGTTGTTAATAGAATGGCGAACCCCGGATTTAAATAATGGTAAGATTTTAGAAATCTTAAGACAATTGGGAAAAAGACCACATTTAAAAGATAGATTAATTAGATGTAGCAAAGGTGACATAATACTATGAATGATATTTTTTAGTAAGAAATTTGAAATAAGATCATCACCACAACTACGAGTGCATTTAAAATTGTTAACAACATCAATAATTTCAAACGAGAGACATTCAAACAAAACAAATGAATCAGAAACATGATTACCCATAAACCTTTTAAAATCAAAATTACAGTCAGATGAATTATTAACATTGTTTAATGACGAAAAATAATTGTTGAAATAATTACACAATAAAACATCATCCATAATAAAATGGTTATCAATCATTATATTAAAAGATGGTGATATATTATTAAGACCTAAGCAAGATTTCAATAACTTCCAAGTATGTCCACTGTTAGATTTACAATTTAAAAACTGATAATTATAATAAAGGTTTTCAGACAGTTTACATAATTTAGAAAAAATTTTCTTATATTTAATATATGTTAATTTATCTAATAAAGAGTTGGAAAGCAAAAAATTTTTATATAATTTATTTTTATTAGCAGATGAAATAATCAAACCCTAAGTAATCCACGGCTTCCTCTTAAGGGATTTCTTACGGAAAGATTTACAATTTGTAATGATTGCATTTTTAACAATGTCTAAAAATGAATTAAAAGCTAAATCAGTATTATAACAGTTCAAGATACAAGACCAATCATAGTTCAAAAGATACATGTTTAGTTTAGAAATATTATAAGCAGAGTAATTGAAAGAAGTAATTGAACGTTCGGTTATAGTTAAACCATGAGTTAAGAATGAAGTAAAAATTGGGAAGTGATCTGAGAAAGATGACAAAATAATACCAGACTTATGATTAGAAATATTATTCGTGAATATGTTATCAATTAAAGACTTACTAGTGGCAGTAACACGAGTGGCCGCTGATATTAAGGAATAATAACTAAAAGAATGTAAAAGATTAATAAACTGAGTAGAAGAATGTTTGTAATCATCAGATAATAAGTTAATGTTAAAATCCCCAGTGATATAAACATTAGTAAACGACGTTGAGTTAAATTTAAGAAATAGAGTGGTTAAATCATTAAAAAATACAGAAGTGTCAACACCAGGTGGGCGATATAAAACGATAATCAAGTAATTAATATTTATACTTATAAAAATCTCCACAATTAAATACTCAAAAGAAGTAAAATAAAAATACAAATCATCTCGTACCACATACTTTAAGCCATCTCTAACAAATAAACCAACACCACCACCAATATTGCCAATACGATTCACGCATACAAATTTAAAACCAGATAAATTTATCAAAGCAGAGGTAGCATCTCTCAACCAGGTCTCAGTGACAGCCACCAAATCAAACCTACCACCACATAAGTCAATCAAAATACTTAATTCAGTTATTTTATTTAGAAGACTACGACAATTAACATGAAAAATACTGAAGTTAAATAAATCAATAAAAGAATTAATATTACCGGGCAATAAAGGAGAACATTCAAAGGAAATATTAGAAAAAATATTAACATCCGGATCGACACTATCAAATTGGCAAGGATTATCATTATGAAAAAATGAGTTGGTTCCCGGAGGGCCATTGAAACAGTTACTTGATTCCGCCATGGTCAGTAGTTTTAGCGTTCTGCGAGGATAACTGGGCTGAGCCTATCTTTGAGTAGTCCCACTCACGGAAAAAAGCATATTGAGGCCAGATATCTGGGTTCAACAACTTAGGTAAATCATCTACCGGCAAAACTATTTTAAACGCAGTTGATTCGGTGTTAACATCGATAGGAGGATCATCAGAATTTTTTTTACGTAAAATCGGGAAACAGCTGGTGATAGCGATATTTTTTGACTTTAAATGATCTTCAATTACATTTTTACCACAGGGGCCGACGTTGCCTACGTAATATGTAGTTTTTTTAACGATAACTTTTGAAGCCTTGAATGGACAATCAAGTCCTGTACCGAAAATTTTCTTTGACAAAGTTTTGGAACCGCTATTGGTATTGGGCAATTGGCTGAAATGATTGGACTTAGGTGACTTTCTCTGCTTTTTATTTGTAACCATTTTAAAGCCATCACCAGCCTCATCATGAGACTCACAATGGGAATCCACAGCAGACGAATCATGACGGTCACCCCAACATTGAGTCACAGGAGTAGTATTTGTTGAAATTTTTGACTGGTTAACAGTATTACTAACTTTATTATTATTAGCATTTAAAGACATAATAGTGTTAACTTTAATATTATTAGCATTTAAAGGCATATTAGTAGGTCGACTAGTAGAAGTTAAATTAGTCAAATTAGCCTTATTAACATTTACAAAACTATTGAACTTAAATTTCAGATTTTCAATTTCAACGTTGTTGTTATCGTTATTAATTTTAATTACATTTTCAAAATTATTAAACTTAATTTTCAAGTTTTCAATGTCAACACAAAACGACTTTAACATATCATTTAACTGGGTCTGCTGATTTATTAATAACTGATTCAAATCACATTTGACGTATTCTAGATTTAATTTTATCTATTTTTCTATATTCGGAATTCTATCCATGTTAGTACTACAAAAATCAGACAATTTTTCTAATAAATTATTTTCTTTACAGTGTTTGTACAAATTTAAACATTCAATTAACCTATCACGTTTATTGCCGCCACTGCCACGTGAAGGGAACTTTTCAGTCTTTTCCAAATTTAACATTTCAAATTCAGATTTTAACAATTTTATTGCATAATCTAACTCAACACCGATATAAAATTTGCTTATATTGTAAATAAACGAATCATTGTCTAGTAATTCCGAGTTATTTTTAACAAAATATAACAACTCGCAAACTTTAACCGGTCTCGACTATAATTAATAAATAAATATCAACATACATTCAAGACATACATTCATAAACCAACAGCAATAATCCAAAAATGTTAGTATGAAAAACATAATAATAATGGCGTATAATTACAAAAGCACGGGAAGATCAAGATACATAGATCAAGTATCAATTGTAGGTGTGTGTTCTTAACCATTCGTTAATTCATCTGCCAATCCATTCATTCATCTATCGATCCATTCATCTATCCATTCATTCATTAATTCGTTCGTTCATTTATTCTCTCATTCATTCATTAGTTCATTCATTCATTCAATTGTTCACTCATTCATATTTATATATAATTGCTGTTATGTCGTTTATATTTTATGGTGACGTCATTATATTTTTCAAGTAATTTCAACAACATTATTCTATGTTGTTTTTACATGGTTTTTATTAAAGTGAACATCATATATGTTTGTATGCATGTTTGTATGTATTTGTTTTATTGTTTGTGTGTGTGTTTGTGTGTTTGTTTGTGTGTGTGTTTGTCTGTGTAAACGCGTACGTGCGTGAACAAATACTTGTTTGTATGTTTATTAATAATAACAATGAAATAAACGAACAAATAAACATACCAAACGAACAGTTGTTAATTCGGTTTTTATGAATTTTTGTTTACATATGTATATACATACACATATGTATATATATATATATATATATATAAAGATATATATAGTATATATGTGTATGTATGTGTATGTATATACATATGTAAACAAAAATTCATAAAAACCGAAAAATAAATATCAACATACATTCAAGACATACATTCATACAAACATAATAATAATGCCATACAATTACAAAAGCACAGAAAGATCAAGATACATAGATCAAGTATCAATTGTAGGTGTGTGTGAGTATAAAAATGTTTTTATACACACACAGTGCCTGTGTGTGTATAAAAAGAAAAAAAAACACAAAAACATTAATTAGATCTTTACTAGACAAAATTTACCTAAGGCACTGGCACAAGTACCAATATATATATATATTATGCAGAGCTGAAGTAACAAAATCGATGAAATGAAAAGATTTTGAAACCAAACGTACGCTCACTTACACACTCAAATAAATAGACTTTTTTGAAAGTGGCTCTGCGAATAACCAAAGCCAAGAAACCTTTAACGATTGGAGAGAAATTAATTAAAAAATCCCTGTAGTTTGTCTTTCTTTAATTTCTCGTTTTCCTCGTTGTTTTGCCCAAGGTTTTGGTCCATTTTTGTAATGTGTATCGGGTACGTTTATGGTTTTGCTCCCGTTGAGTTGATGAACAATATTTTGCCTTGCCATCGAGTTACCTTCATGTCTTATGTTCTTTTCTTGAATGGGTGCGCCAACATTTTTTGGTTTCTCCTCCTGTAGATCGTCTTTTTTTAATTTCTCATCGTAATGTGAAGCGGGTGGGGTTATGATTTTGTTCCGGACGAGGTCATGAACAATATTTTTTTGCCTTCCTACGTCTTTGTAGGTTGCGTGTCTGCTATCATCTTTACGAAAGTCAAAACGATCATTATGATTTCTTCTGCTACCATTTGGATCATCGTTTGCTCTAATCTCATCATTGCCGGATTTTAAACTATTTCCTACCGGTTTTTTTCCCTTTTGGTACTCTTTCATTTTTGGGGAATTCACTTTTCTACTTGGGATCTGTTGTGGATTAAAAAATAATTTAAATTAAGGTTGAAATATAATAATGAATAAGTTTTAAGAATTTAATTTTTATTCGAAATCATAAAAGCATTTAATTTATTACTAAATTATTCTCCAGATTCTCCTCACACATTCTCTCTCTCTCTCTCTTTCTCTTTGGTAATTAGTTATCAAATCAAGATTTAAATATCAGAAACACTCATGTCAGATCAATTTTCAATGACAATTTCGATAGCAGACATATGACATGACAGCAATTCTCGACACAATTGAAATTGTAAAGTAAGAAAAAATTTAGGAAGTTTCTGACGAGTTTTCTCATAAGCATTTAAGAATTTGCTTTTGTCATTAATTAATATGTTTCCAATAAACTTTCAATTAAAATTAAAAAACTTAAAAATTGAATTTAAAAAACTTAAAAAAAAACAATTGATTAATATGCTCGCGATTAACTTTCAATTGATTAATATGTTTCCAATTAACTTTTGAATGATTAACAATGTTATATTATATGAATTAAAATAATTTCCTCTAATTTTTTTTATCCTGCTTCATGACAAAAGCAGATCTTAAATTAAGTTTCGTTGCGCGATCGATTCCAATAAATACTAGCGATCTTACACAAAACCATAAAATCAAATCTGAAAAAAATCAGATTGACATTCTTTATATAATAAACCACTAAATGCCCCATTTAAAAAAAATTCTTGTAAAAAATTCTTACTGCAAAGATTGGTGTCGTCTCCGGATCATAGGCTGTTGTAGTACTTGCAGTTGTAGCAGCTGTAGCAGCTGTTGTAGCAGTAGAAGCAGTGGCAGTAGTAGTAGTAGTCGTTGCAGTTAGTGTAGTAGTTGTTGCTTCTGCTACTGCTGCTGTTTCTGTTGTTGCGAGACTAGATTTAGCCGACAAAACTTCAGAGTCAATCAAAATGCTGACAAAAACGTAGCTGACGACAAAAACGGCGAAAACGATGAGTATGCAGCTAAAGGCGATCCCTATCGCTAACGGCACAGAGAAATCGCGACTCTTTGGCATTCCACCTTTAATGTTGATGAATTAAAATTAGACCGAGTAAATCAACCAATTGATTATTTTAAACGAAATTGATTATTTTTAACTTTTGAACAAATGTAAACATATATGGTTATATATATATATCGTATATATATATAATGTATGTATATATATATAATGTATGTATATATATACAATGTATGTATATATATACAATGTATGTGTATTTACGATGTATGTATATATAACAAATGAACAAACGAATAAAAGAAAACATAAATAAATGAATGCTTGAATGAATGACAGAATGGACAGACAAAAAATTTAACCTTCTAAATTGTTATTTTTGGCTCTATGATGTCTGACAGCACACATTCTGAATGAAAAAATAGAAATTTTTTTAAAACATAGAAAACGTAATAGGTAAAACACGAAAAATTTTGAAAAAATAGGAAAAAGAAGAAAAAGAAAGGGAAAAAAAGAAAGACTGTGAGAGAGAAATGAGAGAAGAGAGAGAGAGAGAGAGAGTATGATGGATTGAGTGATCGATATCATCATTTGACCGCATTAATAGCGCCAGTGGCAGTAGAATGCGCAAACAACCATGGATAATGGATATATCCATGCAAACAACATACTGAAATGCTTTTTATTTCAATTTCTGTTCTTATGTTTTCATTTATTTTTGGCTTTTTGTTCTTTGTTTTGGTATTTGTTCTTTGTTATGTTATTTTTTCTTTGTTGTTTCGTGTTCATTTTGTTTTTTCTTTGTTGTTTATAGGTTTATTTGGTATCTATCGTTTTATAAATCTTTTGTTACCTTAGTATCATTTCAGCCTTCCCTGTGGTGTGTTTGTTTTCGGGTTTTTCATGATTTTATTAAATATGTTTATTGTTTGTTTTTTCAAATATTTTGAAAATTATTTTCTCATTTTAACTATGTTACTGTTACATCTTTCAACCATTCCTTCCTTCATTTTTTCATCTGTTCGTTGGCTTATTTGTTTGCTCGTATATGCGCTCCATCGTTCATTTGTTTGTTTGCAATTCATAATATTATTTTTAAAATTATCTAACAATCTTCTTAACCATTCATATTCGTTAATTCATCTGCCAATCCATTCATTCATCTATCGATCCATTCATCTATCCATTCATTCATTAATTCGTTCGTTCATTTATTCTCTCATTCATTCATTAGTTCATTCATTCATTCAATTGTTCACTCATTCATATTTATATATAATTGCTGTTATGTCGTTTATATTTTATGGTGACGTCATTATATTTTTCAAGTAATTTCAACAACATTATTCTATGTTGTTTTTACATGGTTTTTATTAAAGTGAACATTATATATGTTTGTATGCATGTTTGTTTGTATTTGTTTTATTGTTTGTGTGTGTGTTTGTGTGTTTGTTTGTGTGTGTGTTTGTCTGTGTAAACGCGTATGTGCGTGAACAAATAATTGTTTGTATGTTTATTAACACACAATAAAACAAACGAACAAATAAACATACCAAACGAACAGTTGTTAATTCGGTTTTTGAACGAATAACGTTCTAAAAAAAGAAAAAGTTATTACTTTACATAAAATCTTTGGAATTTTTGTTTACATATGTATATACATACACATATATACATACACATATGTATATATATATATATACTATATATATCTTTATATATATATATATATATACGTTGGTATGTATATCAAAGGTGGACATGGGTTGGGTTAACCCATGGGTTGGGTTAACCCATGGGTTGGGTTGGGAGGGTCCAAATTTTTTAAAGTTGCGTGGGTTGGGTTGGGTTGAAATTTTCAAATTTTATTATAAATAATTTATTTCTGTATTTTTTTTATTCTTAAACGAACATTTTAACTAGTTAAAAATCGGTCTATTTTATATCGTTGTAATATTATTGTATCTTTGGTCTATCGTTTCCACTTTCTTTTTGTGATTATTGAGTTGAGCAAAAGTTAACTTCTTTCTGATCGAGGAAATTAGTTTTATTTACAAGTATGGCAGAATCAGAAGAAAGGTTTGTGTGATTTAAATTTTCTAAGTTTGCGAAAGTAAAAAATGTAATAAATTTCACATTAACATTTTATGAGACTGAACTTAGCCACAATGACCGACCTATACAATTTTATAAGCAATCTTCGATGCCAACTATACACACGTTAAAAAGCCAATTATACACACGTTAAAAAGCCAATTATACACACGTTAAAAAGCCAATTATACACACGTTAAAAAAGAGATAAACGTAAAAGGGAGAGGGTACAGCAAGCCTGCATGCATATGCGATATATGTTATATTATGTTATATGATATATGCTGTTTAAATAGCAGCTGACATGTGTGCATGTTATTATAAGCTTATATGCTATATTATGTTACATGTTATATGCTGTTAAGTGGCAGCTAACAGGTATGCATATATACATGTATATATAATTATAAAATTATATAGTTATATTGATGCTATAAAATATATAATACTGTAGTTGTGTGTATTTGATAATCCTATTAATTTCTATTATTTATTAGTAAATTAAATTTTGTGTGGTGTAAATATTAGATAATAAATTATTTTTCTGCTGTATTTGTAGAAAAACATTACTAGGGTTTCTTGATGATCCTACTCTTCTCCTTCTTGTTACTTCGTTAGTTTTATCTAGGATTGATTATTGTAACTCGCTCTACTATGGCCTAACTGACTCTATACTCTATCCTTTAAGTAAAGCTTTTAACTCTGCTGCTCGTCTAGTTGCTCGTGCCCCTTTCTTTTCTCATATATCTCCATATCTTGTTCTCTTGTTATTTTTTAAATTTGCATGTTCATGTATAAGTCTCAATTTAAATTATTTCCTAAGTATTTATCAGATATATTAATTGAACCTAAACGCCCCGGTTTACGATCGTCTTCTTCTCGCTTTTTCTTAACTCGTGTTAAACACTCTTTTGCTAAATCTGCTTTTGTTTTTTCTGGTCTTTTTTTCTGGAACTCTCTACCTACTTCTCTGACTACTTCTCCATCACTTGCAAAGTTCAGAGCGGATCTCAAGACCCATCTGTTTTCAAAATTCATTGAGGAGCGCTGTTGAACATCGCGGAAATAGCGCTTTATAAGCTAATTGATTGATTGATAGTTAACAGTTATAGAAACTCAATTCTATTTGTTAATCATTAGCAATAAATAAATAATTTGAAAAATTTATATCAACTACATATATTTAAAATTAGGGATGCACCGACGTTTGGCCCCGGTTAAAATCCGACTTTTTTTAAATCCGGCCCCGGCCGGATTTGGTGGCCGAATTTTATCAACATTTAAAAATGTTATAAATAGAAAATTTTTTTATTGAATTCAATTAATTTTACGTCAATAAGTTAAAGGCTAAGCATATATGACACATAATAACAACATCACTAATTTTGAGGTGAGCTGGACAATTTTCTTTATGTTATAACATGGGTTATGCATAAATTATGAGCTGATATGATCTTTGTGTAAAAGAACTTGTACACGTGTATGTACTATATAATTGTATATAATGGATCATATAGCTACATATTATTTATATATATAGACATAAGCGCGTAATTTAAGAACATGGTATGTTAAAGGTTAGGCTAGGCATACATGACACATAATTACAACATCACTAATTGTGAGGTGAGCTGGACAATTTTCTTTGTGCTATAACATGGGTTTTGCATAAATTATAAGCTGTGCAAGTGTGCACGTGCATACATGGCACATAATAACAACATCACTAATTGTGAGGTGAGCTGGTCAATTTTCTTTATGCTATAACACAGGTTATGCATAAGTTATAAGCTGATCTTTGATCACAGAATTTGGCATATCACACAACTTATTTATATATTTGAGAATTAAAACGTCCAAGGCATCCAGAGACATTGTTTTTTGAATTAGATAATTCATTAATTCCACAGAACTTTTTATGTGCAGGTTTAAAGAGGGATAATCAGAGACATCTCTTATTTGCAACAGAAGACCAATTAAACTCATTACGTCAAGCCGAAAATTGGTTTATGGATGGAACATTCAGCGTAAGTTTTCAATATTATTTGATATTTATTGAAATGTATTCACAATAAATTATTTATTTGTTTTTGTTTTTAGGTTGTAAAAAAACCTTTTTTCCAACTCTATACTATACATGTTTTCATAAAACATAATGATAAATATGTACAAATCCCTACATTGTTTTGCTTAATGAGCGGAAAAGCAACAAAAGATTATGAATGTATATTCGAATGGACTGTTGGAACAGGAAACTTGAACGTGAAGTCAGTCACATGTGAGGAATATAGTTTTGTTATATTTAAAAACAGTTTAAATATTTTAACACACATGGATTCACTTAATTTATTAAGGCGATTTACAAAAAGACTACAATGAAAAAAAAGAAGAGCACTCTAAATGCAAGTTATTATTGGCATTGCCGTTTTAGCCATCCGAATGGATACCTGGGATGTTTGAACAGTTAGCAGTTAATGAGGAAAATGAGAAATTGAAAGAATTGAATCAATACATTCAAAAAACGTGGATGGATGGGAAATTGTTTACGCCTAAAACGTGGTCGGTCTTCAAAAGGAAATATAGAACAAATAACAATGTTGAAGGTTGGCACAACCGCATCAATAAAAATGTACCAACCAACGGCTACAACTTTTTCCAGCTGATTAATATATTGCATGATCAGGCCATTCAAATAATTTTTGAAAAACATTATTTGGTAAATGATATAGTTATAAACAAAAAACGGCAAAATCAATTAAAACATGATCAACAAATTCAGGATATGTGGACATCATTTGATAATGGACAAATTAGTGTGAAAGACATGTTGAACCAAGCTTCAAATTTTAATAATTTTGATAAGTTATTGTAATTAGTATTTTTTATTATGAATTTTAAATATAAAACGCCATTTTAATTCATTTGTTTTTCTAAATTAATCGGTTTTTTTCATTTCAATTAACAGTCTTATTTGTTATTAAATCAATGAATTTATTGAAGCGCCATTTCCGAATGAATCTTACAAACAGTCGGGTCTTGAGATCCGCTCTGAACGTCGTGAGTGATGAACAATCAGTCAATCGATTTTTGCTGTAGCGGCATTTCCGCGATGTTCATCAGCGCTTCTAAACAACACACAGCATATATGAATACTTGGTAAACGACGTATCACACAAAGCATGTGATAGGCGGGGATTCTTTTGTCATATTTGAACCAGGTCACTGCGAAAACAGGACCAGGCGTGTTTAACCACTGAGCCATCAGGCCGCCCTAAGTAGTTAGAGATCGAAAAAGAGTTCCAAAGAAAAGGACCAGAAAAAGCAATAGCAGATTTGGCATGAGAGTGTTTTACAGGAGTTAAGAAAGTGAGAACAAGAAGACGATCGTAGACCAGGGCGTTTAGGTTTAATTAAAATATCTGATAGATACTTAGACTGAGACTTATAAATTAAAGTGCAAAAGAGTAAGATGGCGATAGATACATAAGAGTAGAGATACGAGCCGCCGCCGAGTTAAAAGCTTTAGTTTAAGAATGTAAAGTAGGTTCAAAATGACCTTAGTAGAGCGAATTACAATTACTGCTAATAATCAATTTTAGCAGTAACAATGTTGATAGAAGTTCATACTTTCATCTACGTACAATAAAACACTTATGTCTTTTCTTGATGATTCGACTTTTTTTTCTTGTTTCTTTTTTAGTTACCTCTAGAATTGATTATTGTAATTCGTTCTACTATGGTCTTTCTGATTCTACTCTATATCCTTTGACTAAAGCTTTTAACTTGTTGCTCGTCTAGTTGCTCATGTCTATTTTTTTCATATATCTCAATATCTTACATTTTTGCACTGGCTACCTATAAAATATAGAATTATTTTTAAAATTTGCACTTTAATGTATACAGTCAATCTAAGTTATTTCCTAAGTATTTATCAGATCTTTTAATTAGACCTAAACGCTCTGGTCTACGATTGTCTTCTTGTTCTCACTTTTTCTTACATCATGTTCAATCAATCAATTAGCTTATAAAGCGCTATTTCCGCGATGTTCAACAGCGCTCCTCAATGAATTTTGAAAACAGATGGGTCTTGAGATCTGCTCTGAACTTCGCAAGTGATGGAAAAGTAGTCAGAGAAGTAGGTAGAGAGTTCCAGAGAAAAACACTCTTAAATGTTAAACACTCTTATGCTAAATCTGTTTTTGCTTTCTCTGGTCGTTTTCTTTAGAATTTTCTACTTCTTCTCCATTACTTATGAAGTTTAGAGCGGATCTCAAGACCCATTTGTTTGTAAGATTCATTGAAAAACACTGTTGAACATCGCGGAGTGTTCAAAACATCTCATTTACGTCATTGAAGTTTTAGGACCAATCGTCCAAATTTCTAGGGTCAATCGTCCAAATTTCTAGGGCCAAACGTCTTTTAGGACCAATCGTCCAAAAATACACAGGACCAATCGTCCTATCAATCAGGACCGATCGTCATAGAAATCAGGACCATTCGTCTTAAAAAGCAGGACCAATCGTCCGCGAGACCAAACGTCTTGAGATCTTGCCAAAGTCACAGTTGAAAATCCAGCAATGCTTGAAACGAAAAATTCAACTGTCTCCTCAAGAATAAACGATGTTGAAGCATAGACAGATCTTTTTCTGTGTTGATGGTTATCACTCATTCAAATCTGTTGAAAATAAAGGGCTTCTCAATTTGATGCAGAGCTGTGTTGAGTTAGGTGCCAAATATGGAAAGTTTGATGTTTCTGACGTTGATGTCCTCAGTTGTAACTAAACTTGCTGAACGGCTTAAAGATCCGATAGAGGATGGCAGTGTGTCGTTGTGTATTGATATGTTTACAGACGACTTTCGTAAACAGTCATACCTAGATGTGCACTGCTCCAGGATTGATCGTGACTTTACAAATCACCATGCAGCACTTGCCGTTCGTCACTTCGGAACCTCTTCACACATTGCACAAAATATATACACTGTCATGAGCAACATCCTTAGTGAATATGTAATACCAATTGATGAAGTCCCATTCACTACTGATCACGGCTCAAATGTCGTTGCTGCATTGAAGTGTGGGGTTGACTGCATGTGTCATCGCTTGCACACTGTCCTAACGTGTGCTTGGAATGATACTAGACGGCAAGAGCCAGAGGCTGCATCATATGAAACTGCATCAAGTCACTAAAGCATGGAGGTGATACGAGGCCTTGGGTGTCAATGCATCGTCGTTCTGAAGCTATAGAAGCTAGCTATGAAAAACTAGTTACTGTTCTGACAGCCAAAAATCGTTTAGAGCTTATTGCGTGTGTCAACAGAACATTTAACAAAGAAATTTGCGATATAACAAAAGTAATTTCAGATATATTCAAGACATTGGAGAAGGTTGATGAGCCAACTTTGAACCTCATAGGACCATCATACTATCTACTAATAAAGAAGTTTGCCCCTGCTGTTCGAGACTCGCTTCCAATAAAAACTTTTAAAAATAATCTGATGAAATATATGGATGAAAAGTTTTGGCAGTCTATTGTTGCCTTACATTGGATGGCATCATTTTTGGATCCATCGTTCAAGAAGTTTGACTTCATACCTCAGGTATAATAGTAGTAATTATTATATTCCTAATGACATTAACTAAACTAACTTGATTTTCTTTTTAGATTTCAGCCGAAGAGAAAAAATTTAAACGCAACTTGATGGCTGATCTGGATGTTTGGATGATGACAGAGTTGGATCTTGTTGCTAACAAGATGCGTCAACGCAGACATGCTTCTGGAACGGAGTCGAGAGTTGCTGGGTTAGATTGAATTATTCTGTTGATATTGTAGATATGTTAAGATGACAAATATTGTGTCATACATTACCAAGAATAAATCTGCATATTACATATTTTAATTTCACTATTTTTCTCTACACAATTATTTTCATTTTTTTTGTTCATCATTTCAGTACATCAGCACAGCAGGATGTTGAAGATGATTACACTCAGCCAACCAAGAAAGCACGCTTTGATCCTTTTGCTGACCTACGGGATGGCTGAAGCTCATCAACCAGTAAAATTTCAACTGCTAAACTTTCAGGTCATGAAGAATTGGCTAGATACAAAGCTCTGAATGTTCCTGCCAACCACAAATCACTACTAGCTTACTGGCAAGACAATAGCAAAGACTTTATACTTCTTTCAAATGTTGCCAGACGAGTGTTATGCATCTCTGCCAGTTCAGCACAATCTGAAAGAGATTTCAGTTCAGTTGGTCGCACAGTCACAGATGCTCGATCCAGTCTGTCGGCACGAAAAGATGAAGAACTGGAATTAATTAGATGGGGTTGTCGAGCTTCCGTAATAGATATTGATAAACTCTAGTGATCACTCAGTGTGGAGCAGTGACTATAAATCGATGAAGAAAAAAAAAGTAAAATATTAGTAACAATTAATTTTTAATTAATTTTCATGTTATTTTATTACACTTGCAGTGTGATTACTTCACCAGTGTGTTTTATTACACATATGATCTTGTATTTTTGAGTTCTGCTTTTTAAATATCATTTGTAAAAATTTGGCTGTTTGGTAAAATTGCGACTCGTGCAGATGGGTCGTGGGTTTGGTTGGGCCGGGTTGGGTTGAAAAGTTGCATTTTCAGGCGGGTTGGGTTGGGATGGGTTGAGTTAAGTGATGGGTTGGGTTGAGTTGGGTCAGTAAAAATGGACCCATGTCCACCTCTGATGTATATATAAAAATATATATATATATATATATATATATATACAGTTTTTAAGAAAATCAACCAGTTTAACGCGGTTGATTTTCTTAAAAACTGTATCGAATATGGTCTAAATCCTAATTTCACAATATATATATATATATATATATATATACACACATACATATGTGTGTGTTTGCGTGAGTCGTGACTCCAACTGATAACAAAATATGATAAAGTAATAGAATAAACAACAATGGTAATGTCATTGAAAGGTTTCTCCAGCACAATGATATTTGCTTGATAAAATCTCTTCAACCTCATTCACGAGCATGGTCAACTTTAACATTTGCATCTCCTTCAATTTTCAATCAAATCAATTGGAAACGGCTGATTATTTAAATGGCAGTGACCACTTCCTAATCACTCCATCATATGACAATCCAAAACTAATTATAACTGAAAAGAATAATATAAACAAAATAGGTTAGGACCGATTTGTGCATCTTTCAGAAAGTTTAATAAATTTAAATGAAATGAATAAAAATAGAGCAGTTCATCCTTTTAATTACATATCTCAAAGTAACTCATTGTAATTGTTCTCACTATTATGAGAACGATTACAATGGGTATTATTATGAAAACCTCTCCAATGATGAAGATTGTTTATACAGACACCAATCCAAAAGTCAATCCGTGGTTTAACAAACAGTGCAAAGAAAGCAGAGGGGGAAAATTAATAGCTCTTAATAAATTCCTAAAATCCCCCAGCACATGTAATTTGATTGAATTTTATTATTGTTCCTGAGTACTGGTTTTAAAGGATTTTATTGTTTTTTACTTTAAATTGACTATAAATAGGGTAATCAATTATAGCGAATAATAAAAATTATGTTTTGTTTTAAAAGGTTTGATTATATGAAATATAAATAGTAAGATCTTCATAATAAATTGAAATTTATTGGACAGCAATATTAAATATGTTATGATATGCTTTTTATATCAGCCAAAAAACATTTTAGTGGATCAATTGGGGTAAAATGCCCGGCAAAACGCCTTTTAAATAAATTTATTTAACTATACAAAATTTATATAATTGTTTTATTTTTAATAAAGATATTTTTTATACAGTTGTTAAAGTGTTAAACAAAAACTTCAACTGTTCAAGCTTCTCAAATATCAAACTAATCTGGTGTCATGGTTCACAAATATAAGCGAACGTCCGAACGAGGAAAATATGGAGACGATTTGCTTGCAACCGGTTTACAAGCTATTGCAAATGGAAAATGTCTGATTCGTGTAAGCCAAGAACTTGGTATTCCAGCGCGAACATTAAGTCGGCACAGAGATAATAAAAACACTCAATTCTGGAACTCTAAAATTGGGAGATTAACATTTCCACCCCATTGTACTTATAAACTGCAATCACTTGACAAGACATATTTAAAATCACTAAAAGGTGCTTACAATGTTGCTCGTGATAACTGGTTAGTGTCAAACCCTGGTAAAAAATCAGTTTTTATGATATAGCCAGTTTATTTGGAAAAGCATTTCTTCGCACATCAACTCCTGACAAAGCAGTTCATGGATTCAAGACTTGTGGACTATGGCCATTTGACAATAATATTTTCTCTGATGAAGATTATCAAGCAGCTCTAATGTCACTGAAGAAAAAGAACCAAATGCAGAAATAAATCATCACTTATCTACAATTTCAATTTTTGAAACCATCAATCAAACCTTGTTATCTTCTACTAACAAAACAGTTACCAACATGTTAAATGGTTCAATAATTTGGATCAGTCATCACATGAGCTCAACAATCATGATCCACAAGGTGAGTCAAAATAATAAAATAATTTTTTTAAAATTGAATATTTAAAAAAATTGATTTTTAATAATAATAAGTTAAATTCAATTTTGACAATGGCTAAAGGTGTGATTAAAAAGTTGTCTCCATTGCCAAAGATATCAGGCATCAGAAATAGGAAATGTAAACCAGAATCATCAAATTTAATAACTTTTTCACCATTCAAAAGAACTCGAAGAGAAAATTATGTCAACTGAAGCAAGATTGACTATAGGAAGTTTCTAAGGAAAAATACAACTTATAACAAAACAAACTTGTACAAGGACATGAAACCACTAAAAAAAAGAATAGTTTATATGAAATAAGTCGCACTGACTGAATCAAGTACCGAGGAAGAAGATTGGCCATGTGTGATATGTAGGGATCAATTTTCTAATAGCAAATCATGTGAACAGTGGATGCAATGTCAAGAATGTAAAAAGTGGGCTCATGATGTATGTACGGCGGGAACCACATGGTTTATTTGCCCAAACTGTGATTGATTGTTGTTGTTATTCTGGAAACTAGTATCATGTTGATGATGATGATATTGACGATAATGATGATGAAGATATTGACGATAATAATGATGATGTAGTTGATTATGATGAAACTAATTTTATCTCCTGTTTTTTCATTTTTAAGGACACCACATTTTAAGTGAATAAATGTGCTTAACTTTCTGACAATAGAACTTTACAATATCATTTGAAATCATTTGGTATCATTGTTGAACTTTTATTACATTATTCAATCCAGTCCACCACTACAAGGCATACCTCCGTTTTTTGCATTCACAAGACTCGCATAAAATTAATAACGTCAAGTCACAGTGTAATTTTGCACAAGTCTGTAGGTGGGCCTAATTGGATATCATAAGATGTTTGTGCACTTACTTGTGCGTGCACGTGCTATTGTGTATGCTTGTGTGTAAGGGTGAGTGTGCGTTTGTGTGTGTGTTGCATGAGATGAGATTCTAAATAATGTTCTGTTGTTTAGATGAACCCATAAAAGAAATTATTTTATTCCTTAAATAGTTTTATTACTGGAATAATTAAAAATAATTAAAATATGTAAAAATTAAACTCACCTTTTCCCGTTGTCAGCCCGTGTTTACCTGTTTATAAATACAGGTTGTTTACCTGTATTTATTAATTAAATTAACTAGCGCTTTATATTTTATTGTTGTTTCACAATACTGGTTTTAATGGATTTTCTCGTTTTTTACTGTAAATAGGGTAATCAATTATAGCGAATAATAAAAATTATGTTTTGTTTTAAATGGTTTGATTATATGAAATATAAATAGTAAGATCTACATAATAAATTGAAATTTATTGGACAACAATATCCATGGGCAAAACGCCTATTAAATAAATTTATATAACTATAAAAAATTTATTATATAATTGTTTTGTTTTTAATAAAGATATTTTTTTATACAGTTGTTAAGCTTTAACAGTTAAAGTGTTAAACTTAAACTGTTCAAGCTTCTCAAATATCAAACTAATCCTGGAACTTTAAAATTGGGACATTAACATTTCCACTCCATTATTACTTATAAACTGCAACTTAAAGTTAATTTACCTTTTTTGCGGCCAATAGCTTTTGGTGCCAAATAGAACCTTAATTTTTTCGATCGTAACTTTTGAAGTAAGGGTTAGATGTAATATGAGCGAAGACCGTTATATTAATTCTAGTTATGTGTAGCTACATCCTTTATTAACTTTTAACAAAAATAATAAATGTTGATTGACTGACCGAATGAGAAAAAAGGAATGAATGTTTGTAAAATTGAAGTATTTAAGACAACTGATATATAAATTATTATTGTTATTACAATTATGTTCAATATATATATATATATATATATATATATTATAGTGCATATAATTTCAATGTATAAAATCCCTGAATATAGAGGCATAACCTAATAACCAATTATTTAATTAAATACATATTCATAATTGACTTAATTTAACTAATATAGAGATAAAATTGGTTAAGTCATATTAATATTTAGATGTTTATAGCATATATATATATATATATATATATAATATATACGTATATTAAGGCAATATAAAGTATATATATAGTTTATAATGTATGTATATATATATATATATATATATATAGTACCAAAAATACTAAAAATAAGCATACAAAACGACGACTTATTTTATAAAAACAGAACAGCTAAACATAGACAAAAAAGTTTAATACGATATATATGGTTTAATTTTTTAGGCAAATATATTATATATATATATAATATATATAGAGAAACGTACAAACAAATACATATAGACATACACACACACGTTTAGACAAAAACATACATAAAAACATACAAACTAACAAACACGTACATAAACACACACGTTTTGAAATATACATATATATATACAAACATACAAACAAACAAACGTAAACATACACACATACAAAGATATAAAAACATATAAAACTTCAATCTAAGTTAATTAATATTACAACGAATAACGTAAATAAAGAGTTAACATCATTGTTGAGAATTATATATGTTAAAGAACACTTCATATAAGGCAATCCTATAAAAAATATACCAGAGAAGAACTAGAATTAAGGGCAAATATCTATCTATCTATCTATTTATAACATGATACAAGTATCCACATTACTATTACGTCATGAAACTATAGCAAATAATAACAGTAATAATATCTATTGGTATGTTGATCCCGAAAATATATATAAAGTTATTTTGATTTTATCAACAGTATTATTATGAACGTTATTAATATTAGGAAGACTTATAATATAAAATGATATGTGTTATACAATAAAATGACACACACACACACACACACACACACACACACATATATATATATATATATATATATATATATATATATATATGTATGTATGTAAGTATGAATGTATAAGTTATTTAGTGACAACGGACAGACTAGATAAACTCGGTCTTAGTTAAATGTGGCAGAAATACCTTTTTTTGATATGCTAGCTCTTTAAAACAAATTAAAAAAAATAACTAAATAATAATTAAAATAATTATAATAAAAAGAATAATAATGATAATAATAATAAACATTTTCATCCACACTTCAATGTTAATTTTAGCGAATTAAATAAGCTTTCATATTAAAATATTTTTATATAAACTTCCAATGATTCACTGGAAACATTTCATGTATGTATTTGTCGTGTATATATGTACGTGTCTTCACAAGATGCAATATAGACCATAATCATGCAATTATAATTGTTTCGGTTTATATTTTAAATAAAATAAAACAATTCAATCAACTAATTAACATATTTAATCAATTAAATAAACTTCCCAATTAATGTAACGGTTTTTGTATACAACTTTCAATAAAATTTTGGAGCGTGTTTTTTACCAAAATTTTCAAAAGTCACTCTGTCTCTCTCTTTCTCTCTCTCTCTCTCTTTCTCTCTCTCCCTCTTTCTCTCTCTGTAGAAATATATATAATTACATTTATATATATATATATATATATATATTGACTTAAAAAATATTCAAGTACTTTTTATTCAAAAAACGTTTTTTTCGTAATTTATTGGAATAAGTTATAGCTGCTATGTGCATATAAGGAATATGTATATAAAAATTTTGATGTGATTTTTTGGGAAATATAAATGCTTATTTATATATATATATATTTATATATATTTATATATATATAAAAAATATATATATTTATTTATATATATAGAAATACAAAGACTTTAAGTTAGAAAATAAATACAAATTTTGAAGAACAATTTGCGTTCAATTTTTAAATAAAAATTTGGATGTGTCAATAAATAATTTTTTTAAATAAATAGATTTCAAATAATCAAACAAATAAAAGATAAATTAAATAAATAATAATGTTAGAAATTCATCGTAAACCGTTCATGTTTTAATTTATACTGTGATAATAAGGAAGAAGCAACAATATCATTCTGTCTGAATTTTCAAGATTTAATTTTGCTTGCAGATTTTATTTAAATTATTTTCAAATTTAATCTAATTTTTCAATTTAGTTCAACTTTACTGAATAAAGATTATTTTAATTTTGGCTGCGATAGTGATATAAATAATAAAATATATACTCTATAGTCTAAAATTCACAGAACAAATATTTAACTTGACACATACACGTACATATATTTATATATATATATATATATATATATACATTGAGCATTTCGGAATGTAAAGTCAAAAATTAAAGGAATCATCGTTACCATTTTAACAATAAACATCTCAGATTATTTGCGAGTGAATGATTGAATGATTGAATGAATGATTGAACGAATGAGTGAATGATTGAAAATATAAATGAGTGAATGAATGATAGAATGATTGAAAGGTGATTGAATGACTATTTTTTCATCTCAATAACTCATTCGCTCTCTCTTCCTTCGTCCAAATAAAAAGCACTTTAAATGTGAATATTAGCTAAAAACGCAACTTGAAACGCAAAATATACAATTACTATTTTCTTGTAGCAGCTGTTTCATACTAAACAAGTAACAACATCAACAACAACATCAAATAACAATAAATGGAAATACTAATTTGAGTTGAACAAAGGTAACAAGTAGGTAGGGTGGAGTCAATTTCTTCAACGATAATAATTTCAAGCAAGCCACCGTGCACTGGTGCTATTCTTGTTAGCGTTAGTTTAAAATGACTAAAATATGGTGACACAATTTTCAACGATATTAAAAAACATTTGTTATAGGAACTCGTTGCGACAACTAGATTTTGCTAAGCTAGTTTCAAATGACTGATAAATTCTGATCAAATTTTCAAAGATATCAAAAAACTTTGGTAGCAAGATTTGCAAAGTGTGTCTTGGGAATAGTGGTGGAATCGGAGTCACCTAGCAGGCTGTATGGAAGGAGTTCAGCCATCCATCCACGTTCATGTCAAGTTGCCGAGGGGATTGCTGAATTAGGGTTAGTGACTGCTCTGGACTCAATGGAATATATGGAGCATTAAAACTGTTATTAAACATAGCGTCGCTTTCGTTTTCAATTTTTATTGCTGGAATGTTGCTTAAATCATCGACGTCGTCAAATTGGAAATTTTCATTCAAGTTGTTGAGATTCAAATTTTCAGCGTCCAACACTTTGAGGTCCTGGTCAGTTAAATTCGGCAGGGAGAAGTTTTTCAAATTTTCTTGAAAATCTGAAGGCAAATTCAAAATGTCCATTCCTGGCTCTTGAACGTTGTCTAGATCATTGAACCAGTTGTTTTGTTGTTGTTGCTGCTGCTGTTTCAGTTGGTTAATTAGTTGTTGTTGTGTGTTGGATGGTGCAACTGAGAGAAAGTAGACAGGCGATGTTGATGTTCCTCTGTTCACTGGTTGTGACGTCAGTATGTTGGATTGTAGGAGTGTGTTGTTTTTGTTGAGAATAAGAATGTTGTTGTTTCTAAGTATGCTGTTGTTTGCATTGTTGTTGTTGTTGTTGTTGTTGTTGATGTTGATGGCACTGTTAAAAGGATTGGTTGGGCTGCAAAGAGTTGAAGCCGTAGATGTTAGTGTTATGATTATTCTATTGTTGCCATTTATGAGCTTGTTGCAGTTGCTAAAGTTAGTGTTGTTGTTGTTGCTGTCGTTATTGATGCTGGCAGAGATTAATTTTTTCATGTTCAAGAGATCATTTGCATTGATATGGTTCAAGATAATGTTGTTGTTGTTGTTGGCAGTTTTGTTGTTGTTGTTGTTTACCAGATATTCTTTAGGATCAGAATAGAAATCAACGGAGGGTGATCCTGAAGATGTACTGTTGTCGGGACTAGATGGTGGAGGAGTGGGCATCATATTCATCAAGTTGTTGTTGTTGGTGTTGTTGGCAAAAATGTTGTTGTTTGTGGCAATGTTGTTGTTGAAAATTGTTGAGTTGTTGTTGAAAATGTTGTTGATGTGGGTGTTTGAGCTGCCATCATTCAAGTTAGTCGAGTTGTTGTTCCTTTTCAGCATTTGTGAATTTATAAATTGCAAAAGTGGCAATGTTGGTTTAAAACTGCTGTTGATGTTATTATTGTTGATGTTGTTGTTGTTGTTGTTGTTATTGATGTCATTCGCATTAATGACTACTTGATGGCTGTTGATGTCTTCAAATTTGAACTTTTTGATCCCGTCAGCGAGGCCAGTTCCGCTAGAGCCACCATCAGCACCACCACTACCACAACCAACTTCTTTGGTAACAGTACCGGAAGTTACACTGTTGTTACTTCCGGCCTGCCCAAGATTACCGGTCGCGACATCTTCCGGCTTGGCCCTTTTGATCGGTTTCTTCCTAGGTTGAAATCTGTAATTTGGATATTCTTTGCCGTGTAGTTCTTTCAGTCTGTTGGCTTCGTCGACGTATGGCTGGCGTTTTTCTTTCGACATTTGCTTCCATCGAGTACCTAGCTGCTGGCTGATCAGTGCATTGTGCAAGTCTGGCTGTGCCTGCAATTGAAGAATGATTCGCTCGTTACATGGTTGATAATGTCCATAATTTAAATGATGCGTTAAAAGTATGCTAATAGTATTTGTGATTATTTCAGAAAAAAAGTGTTATTAATTAATTAATTTATTTATTTATTATAATTTTAAAAATAAATAACCATGAATATAAATTTATTAACATCAATTCATCCCACTTCATTCATTCATTCATCCATCCATCCATCATTCCATTCATTCATCCATTCATCCATCCATTCATTCATTAATCAATTCATTCATTCATTCATTCAATCATTCATTCATCCATCTATCCATTCATTTATTCAATCAGTCATCCATCCATCCATTCATTCAATCATTCATTCATGACACAATTTCATTCATTCATTCGTTCATGACACAACTTTATTCATTTATTTTAAACTCCTATTCCGTCTAACGATTTCCTTTCTTCCTTCCAGTTTTTCCCTGTGCGTGCATTCTCGCAAATAATTCGTCGCAAGCAAAACAAACAAAAACGAGCGTTTCGAATGACATTTTAAAAAAAATTAAAAGAATATTATCGAGAGTAATAAAATAAAATTATCGACAAATCGATAATCCGAAAATATTCTCGATTAAGACACAATAAGTACGTAAATAGTATGCTTAGAAGCATATAATTACGACAGAAAGATCTAATTTACTTCACTTTAAACCTATAGAGGACTTTGTAATATGGTGGATAAAATGACACTACTTATTGTAACGCGTACTTGAAAAAATTGTTTTAATCTTCCCTGAATTGACTCTCAACATCAAAATCCGTAGAAGCGTCATACAGAAATACATAAACACACATTCACACACACACACAGACACACACACACACACACTTAAATACATGCATACACACATAAACATACAAACATACATGCACATATAACAAACACATACACGCATATGCACGCATACAAAAACATACATACAGATATATAGTAAAAATAGTGCAAACGAAAAGCCAATCGATAATTGAGTACTGGCAAAATAGACCAAGCACATATATGAAAATTATAATACCATAC